CAAATGTAGTTTTAAAATCAAAACCATTGCTTTTTAGTGTTTATCCAGGAGAACATAAAAGTATCAGATTTTACTGAGCAAAGTGTTTTATTTTTATGATTCCAACATTGAACTGAGATTTATAAGTGAAGAGTAATTATTATTTAAAAGTTAACATAAAAATAGCGGCCTTCTGAATAGAGATAAATACTGTATGTACTCAATCAAGTGTGTTAGTTAAATGTTTTCCCTTCTGTTTGATTTGCACCTGCTTTATATTCTTTGATGCAAAAAGTGAAAACTGCTGGTTCCAGCTGCAGCCCAGAAACACCAACAATATATTAAGATATATAGGTGCCTATTAATTATTGTTTTAAGATCAGAAGATTCTAAAAATACAAGATTTCTCAATGGAGTTTTGCCGTATGGAGTACAGAGTTTTAAAAATAACATAGCTATTCAATGTGTATTCCTTATGATCATTTTGTCATTGCATTGTGGAGCATTCTGCAGCTGTTCATGAATTGATGACTGTAGGGATTTTAGATGATTTATTGGGTGAATCAGACCTGCATATAAAATATAAAGCATGCTGTCATTTGGCCCCAGGTTATATAACTCAGTGATCCAGCACATCTGCAGAGCAAGTGAAAACCTGACTGTATTTTGATTTCGTATGTGTTGTGAACTGCGAATATTTAAATACTTTTAAGGGCAGGGCTGCCATCCTGCCAAAACCTGTTGTAAATATCACAATTTGAAGGTTCATGCAGATTATACCTGATCTCCACTAAATCCTGACACACCTGTGATAAAAACACCCTCCGGGGCACCTGATTGCTTCATATTCACAGCGGGGAGTTTAGACAGCTGTCGAAAGATTTGATTTGCAAATGCAGCGGTAGAATAAGGCAGAAAAACCTTCCTAGAAAAGGACCCTTGAAAGCAGCAGCGCATGTTAAGCGGACAGATGAGTCTTAATGTGTTATTCATACATAAAAAAGTAAACATAAGTGAGTGATGAGATGACACCGTGGCAGGTTCTTTGTGCAAGGAGGGCAACATATGCAGCGTTGGGCTACCGTGTTCATCATGGAGATGGAGGTCTGGTGCATTACAGCACAGCTCCTATTGTTACGGTTGGTGCTGTCGCTCCGGACAGCAGCAGGAGCTTCTATTTGTCCAGAGAGAAACTCACCCTGCATCAGCTGAACAAGAGGCTGGCCTCGTACCTGCAGCAGGTAGGAGATGCACAAGGTGGAAAGTGATAAATTATTGATTTAAAGACCAAGAAATCATTAAAGTATCAGATTTCTAAAGATTTGGTGATGTACTGAAATTATATTTTATGATTCTATCTCTTGTTTTTCATAATCAGAATCAAAACCAGAAAACATTATCATTGCATCAATAGTACAAGATTTGCTGTGCAACTCCTAAAACGAAAG